ACTGAGGGGCTTTGTAAGAGAAAGCTCTGCCCCCTGCTGTTGCCTTCACTATTTGAGGCACCAACAAGTAGCCTGCACCTTTTGACCGAAGTAGGCGTGGCGGATCATAAAAGACCAAAAGTTCACTCAGGTACTGTGGCGCAAGACCATTCAGTGCGTTATAGGTCAATAGTAGTATTTTATAATCAGTGTGAAATTTGATTGGGAGCTTATGCAAGGTGGATAAGAGGTGATGTGGTCATATCTTCTGGTTCTAGTAAGAACTCTGGCTGGAGCTTGTTTATGTACCTACTGCAATATTTAGACATCTAGACAGTAAGGCATTACAATAATCTAACCTAGAGTTAACAAAAGCATGAACTAGTTTTCTGCATCGTGTAGTGACATTATATTTCTTATCTTAGCAATATTTCTGAGATGAAAGATGGCTATCCTAGTACTGTTATCTACATGAGCTTTAAATGAAAGACTAGAGTCAATAGTCACACCAAGGTCCTTTACTGCTGCACATGATGAAACAGAAAGGCCATCCAGAGTTACTATGAAATCAGAAAGCTTACTTATGGCTGCATGTGATCCTAGTACAAGTACTTCTGTCTTGTAAGAATTAAGTAAAAGGAAGTTAATAAGCGTTCAGTGTCTAACGTCCTTTACACATCATTCAACTTTATTAAGCTGGTGTCTATCATCTGGCTTTGCTGAAACATAAAACTGAGTGCCATCAGCATAACGGCGGAAGCTATTACCATGTTTATGAATAATTTTACCCAGAGGTAGCATGTATAAAGAAAAGTGCAGTGGGCCTAAAACAGAACCTTGTGGAACACCAAACTTTACCTTAGTATGCGTGGAGAAGTCACCATTTACATCTACAAACTGATAACGATCAGTCAAATAAGACCTGAGCCAGGAGAGGGACGTTCCCCTAATGCCTACTACATTTTCTAGTCTGTCGAGGAGAATAGCATGATCAATGGTATCAAAAGCTGCAATAAGGTCAAGCAGCACAAGCAAGGAGACACAGCCCTGATCAGAGGCCAGTAGTAGGTCATTTACCACGTTAACCAGTGCTGTCTCTGTGCTATGATGACGCCTAAATCCTGACTGATACATTTCATGAATGTTATTGCTATGTAGGTATGAACATAACTGCTGAGCTACAACGTTTTCTAGAATCTTTGAGATAAAGCGGAGGTTTGATATTGGTCTATAGTTGGTCAACTGACAGGGGTCAGGGTAAGGTTTTTTAATCAGTTTGATAACTGCTAGTTTAAAAGATTTAGGTACATAGCCAAAGCTAAGGGAAGAATTGATTATTTTTAGAAGAGGTTCTTCTGGAATTATCTGTTTGAAGAAATGTGTAGGTAAAAACCAATTACTGTCCATTTATCTTAAATCTTAAGTACACTATATCCACATTTCCAGGTAAAAAGCAACCCCAGTGACAAGGAAAGGCACAGCTTAATAGTAATAATAGTTTTGTGAGAGTATTAGAATACCACAGCTACAGTGAAACATGATGATGGTAGCATCATGTTGTGGCAATGCTTTTCATCAGGAGGGACGGAGAAACTGGTTAGGGTTAAGAGCAAGATGGATGAAGTCACATATAGATCAATCCTAGAAGAAAACCTGATTCAGTCGGCAAGAGAATTGAGACTGGGGAGAGTGTTTATCTTCCAAGAAGACAAGAACCCTAAGCATATTGCCAAAGCTACACTGAATGTGCTAGAATGGCCCATCCACTCCAATCTATCCAATCAAGAGTGGTGAAAACTTATGCAAGGCACAGTATTTAAGGTTATGTTGCTTATTTCCTATTAATGTGATATCTAATTATCACACATTAGCAGAATTCTGCTACATCTGATGATTTGCTGATTTATTTTATGTTTTATAGAAGTGTAATGCATGTAAAGAATGCACATTTGTTCCTCATTTGTTCATTTTAATGAAATATGACCTGTATTTGTGCTTCTAATGCTATCTGAACTATGCAGTGTAAGGAGTTCTTGTGTGTATTCACTTCCTCTTGATAGTGAGTGAAGTTTTAAAGGTCCTCTTCTGTACCCTCCACCCATCTTCTTAATTTATTGTCATTTGGCTCTGTTTCTCCTGTCCTCAAGGTGATCAGAACGTTCTTCTCTAACTGCCTGCCCATGAATCTCTGCCACTGATTTATGTGTCTCTCTCTCTCTCTCTCTCTCTCTCTCTCTCTTTCTCTTTCTCTCTCAGAACTATAATGGAGTCTCTGATGTGGAGTTGAGGATAGCTATGCCAGATAAAACCACAGTAACCGTTCGAGTTCGAAAGAACTGCACTACAGACCAGGTGTACCAGGTATTGCATACAGCAGCACAACACTGCCCTGTAGACCAAAGAAGAAACCAGGTTACATGCTTATCTTGTGTTTATTTACATAACACAAATCAGGATAAGACAAAGATGAAATCAAAATGACAATGCTGCACTGTGGTCAGAAGCAATGACTAATTCTTTCAATTTTTTTTTCTACACTGTGATAACTAAAACATAAGCAAATGCTGGAAGGGGAGTGTACTCACTGTACTGGTGTCACCAATTGGTAGGGCAGTCAATATTTTTAGAGTGTTAAAACTGTTGTATACCAATTTTCATAAATTCCCAAAAGCCCCATTCACATTTGAACATATAAAAATTCATATACATACACAAACATATTCTGACAACTGATCATATCAGCTACTGTAAATTTATATGGTAAAAAATTAGACACCAGATTTAGTTAAATATGATTGCCAAGTCCTCAAACTCAAACAATGTGAATATGAATATGCAGCGCCAGTGAAGTGAAAAATGTAACAAAAACTTTTTAAACAGTAATATCTCTTATATTGAGTACTTCAGACTTGAAAGAAAAATAATGCAACATTCCTAGCGTATTTTATTTGAGAGCTGACTTTATAAATAAGTGCCACATGGGCATGGGCTTATTTCTTTTGCACGCTGTCAAAACACATCCCCTGTACCGAAAGTGACCATGGTCTCTGGTTCCTAGGTCATTGATACTACAGGAAAAGAAACCTGAAAGTCTCTCCTGTGTTTGAAGGATTGCTTGTTCCTGTCAAACCCTGTATCTTTCACACAATCTGATTGTAAGAGACAACAAATGGGGGACTTGTTTGCTGTGAGTTGCGACCTGTGATTGTGGAGGAAGAGGTCCTGGCATTTGAGCAATGTGGTTTGCTGCGGCTACCATAAGTCCAGCACAATGCTTTGGCTCCTACTTCACATAGACAGGAGGCTGGAAGGGCCGGTTCCAATCAAGCAGGGGGGTCAAGGCTTGCCCTGGGTTGTACCTTTTTGGCATTAATATCAGCCATTCCTTTTCTCTTCCCAGAAGGCATTGGCTAAGTGTCAATCGAGCAATGTAATTACTTTACATGATTGCTCGAGTATACCACGGATATATATCCCGGATGCATATCTGCAGGGTGTCCGCGGCTCTGTGCATCCCCTTGTTGGGCTCTGAGGTGGGTGGGGGGTAGGGGTGATTAAAATAAAATACATATAGACATGGCTACCAAACAAACCCCCCCAAAAAAGAATGCTGCATCAGGATTTAGATCTTGATTCAATAACTAGAGATTCTCTTTATTTGTCACTTGATAACTGGCAGAGGTTCGTAATCCTAGAATCTCTATCAGCAGACATGCCTGTTACCAAGCTATTCTCCTTTCACCATACAAAAAGGTATCTCAGGAATAGCAGGGACAGTCAAAGATCAAAAAACTAAAGTCTAGCCAGATTCTGGTGGAGTACTTGAAGAAGACGCAAGCAGAGAATCTTTTACGTACCACTGAATTGGCTGGTAATCGTATAAAGGTCTTCCCTCATTTATAGCAGTAAAGAAGTAATTCGCACTAGAGAGCTAGAGGAACTGGACGAGGCTAAAATAGCCTCAGAACTGACACAAAAGGTTGTGAAAGGCATCAAATAAATAACGATTAAAAAAAAAGAAAAAAAAATCGAACTATTAAAACCAGCACCAATATCATGACTTTTGATAGGCCACAACCACCAGAAAAGATTCTAATAGGCTACCAAAGAGTACCTGTTAATTTATGTATACTGAACCCACTAAGATACTTCAACTGACAGAAATTTGGTCATGGAACCACAAGCTGTAAAAACAAAGCTATCTGCTGCATTTGTGGAGAGGAAGGACATGAAAGTATCTGCCAAAAACCACCAAAGTGATGCAACTGTTCAGGTGAAAGCTCATCAAGAGAACAATCTAATTTATGTGATAGTAAGAGTAAAAAGAAATCAACCCAACAAAAACCAAATGGAAGCCATGAAAACAGCCTGAACAAAACTGAACACCCAAAAGATATGGAAATGGCAGAGACTGTGGCCTCTTGCAGCTGAAGCCTCTCACCCAAAGGCAGGAATAAGGTGCAAGTACATGTACTGCCTACCTGATGTGGAGTAATATTATTCAGTGGAACTGTCATGAGGCCCATAAAAAAGCAGAAAGACTCTTTAACCAACACCCAAATCAGAGAATCTAGCCAAGTTCAAAATATGTAGAGCACAGGCCAGAAGAGTCATCAATGCCTCAAAGAAACAATGTTGGAGGTAATTTGTTTCAAGCCTAACACTAAATACACTGGCAAAGAAGGTTTGGGGTATGATACGCAAGATGAAGGGCAAAGGGAGCGGACCACAACTACAGCATAACAAACATTCTCTACTTACCACAAAACATGAAATGACAAGCAAGCTAGCAGAGACATTCGCAAAGAATTCCTCAACACAAAACTGCCTCCCCGAATTCCAAGCAATACGTGTACAGCAATAAAATAAACAACTCGAGTTCTACTCACACAATGCAGAACCAAATAACCAGCCATTCTAAATGGAAGAACTCCTGAACTCCTTATCCAGAGAGACTTACATTTATACAACTGAGCAGTTGAGAGTTAAGGGCCTTGCTCAGGGGCCCAGCAGTGGCAGCTTGGTGGTGCTGGGATTTGAACTCACAGCCTTTGGATTTAGAAGTCCCATGTCTTAACCACTGAGCTACCACCACCCTTTAAAAAATCTTTTAAAATAAATAAAAATTATAATAATAAACCTGACATCATCTTTGTTGTCTTACAACAAAAAGTCAGTAACTCACCCAGTTGTGCACCAGCAGCAGTTCCTCAACATAAGAAGCAGATTTCCTCATCACATACCTATATACACAGATGGATCCAAAGTGGACAATCGTGTATCTGCTGTACTAGCAGTTGCACTAGCACCATGACATCTGCATTCCAGGACAAGGTTCTATCTTTACAGCCGAGGCCCGCACTCTGCTTTAAGCCCTGCGAGTGCCCTATCCCACCATCAGACCTCAGACCGATCTTGAACTCCTATATTGTAAAGTGGCAAGTGAAATGGGACGAAAATGAGGATAACAAACTGCATGAAATCAATCCTGTTATTATCAGAAGACTGACTCTTTCCTTTAAAACTCGCTGGCATCAGACTGTGTACACAAGAGGTCACAGGTCACTCAAGACCAACACATATGTTTTCATTACTGGGTGAAGAGGCACCATCATGTCAGTTATGTAGAACTTCTCTGACTCTAAAGCACATTTTATCGAACTGTTCTGCTTTTGATGTCATCAGACAAAGATCTTACACAGTAAAGTCTTTTAAGGAGATTTTTTGACAAGGTAACACCAGAAAGAGTTTTAGAATTTTTATCCCAAATTAATTTGAAATGATCCATGTAGATGCTTACCTTGTTTAATGTAAGTGTGAAAAATATTACACTTTCAAATTGTTTTACTTTTTAAAATATCTTCTATTCAGTTGTGTTAATTTTTTGAATGCCTATTTATTTTTGTGGACCTGTTCTTATGTATATCTACCCATGTATAGATTTATACATTTTTATTCATCTGTTATTTATAACCTTGCTTTTGCCATGAATATAGCACTTGTTTCACAGCATGGCGTTAAAAATTAAACACCTAAACTAACCTGTTAAAACCCATCTTTGTTCTTGTCTGTCGAACACACACACACTTCAATCCCAAGAAATCACTGAAACCAGTATTTACTTACATGAAAAAAAAAATTTATTTTATTATTAGTGGTCCTTACAGAATGTCTGCGGCTTTATTGGTGTGATCTTAATAAAACCAGCCTTAATATTAAATTTTATAAGCCAACCAATACATTGGTGTACAGTGTGTGTTTGTTCACATGGATTAGTGTGAGGGCAGGGTGATCCTGATGAACTACCAGACACTTCCCACCATATATTTAACCTCATATTGTTTAATGTCTTTGTCTGTATTTTTATCCCTCGCTTTTTCTCTGTCACGATCTCTCTCACACGAATGCTCTCTGTGTCACAGGCTGTGGTGATGAAGGTTGGGATGGACAGTATTACCGCCAGTTATTTTGCTCTCTTTGAAGTCATTAACCACTCATTTGGTAAGTCTGGCTCCTTCAGACTTCTCTGTTCTAGGGCAATATTATGGCACATTTTTAGGTCTACATCCCTGATTCTGTGTATGTGGAGCATTAAACTAGGTGTAGACAGGATCTTGCACTTGGCTCAGATCAAATGATAAACACAGATGTGTAGAGCTAGGAAGCTGTCAAACCAGCTCAGCTACAACTAATTCAGGTTGACAAACTTTGATTGGACGTTCGGTGCTTATTCTTCTGCTGCTGTTTTCTACTGATTAACCAATCACCAAAGGTAACCAGATAACACCCAGGGTTTTGTAGAATGCTTATGTGCTGTTTTGTATTTATGTCAAAATAATTCTGAGCACAGTTTTATGGCATTACATTTTTTCCCTCATCGGTTTAAAGAAAAGACAAACTGCTTTGCTAGTTGTACTCTGTTCACACAACTGCAGCTATGTCTGTAACTAACTCTTATGGCATTTCATTATTATTGAGCACTAGAGGCCAGATTTTCAACTCAAGTGATGAGTGCCAACAAGGTCATGGGCAGTTCATTGACTGCATCATTGTAAACAAAGCAAGGAATTGTGGGTAATAGTATGAGAGGCTTGGCTGATATTTGAATTGCAGTATGAATGTCACACAGCACTGTGTCTCTCTCATTTATAGGTATATTTATACAAATATACTATTTTGTAATTGATAATATATTATTTAAATGAGCTGTATTGGAGGTCACAGTGGTGAGAAATAGTTTTGAAGCAGTTTGATAATGTACAATACTGATAATGACACTGATTAGATCAGTCCTCGTGATTGCGACAGTCCCTGCCATGCCAAATAATCACGCCTGAAGCAGTGTAGCTGCCTGGACGGGCAGACGGTTTAATTTTCACAGTTTCAGTGTTGAAATCTCCTCACTGGTTCTGTTGATTGACTTTGTAAACAAACCTCAAATGAGTCATAGATTCTTTGCAGCTTATCTGTTTTTATTATCTGTTTGAAACCATAAAAAATTTATGTGTAATAATACTCTTTAATATTCCCAAGAAAACTTAATTGGCACAGGTACTTAACTGATTACTAAATTGGCACAGGAACACCTGTACCTCTTTACCTTCTTTACACAAAAAGCTTCAAGAAGCTGTGGTTATTCATGAACATGCAACTTGGAAACACTCTGTTGTCTCCTGCCATATCTAACAGCTAAACAGCTAGCTAACTGCTAGTAAACTAGCTCATATTTGTCATAGCTTAGCATACACGTTGAAAGTTTCTGTGGCACGTTATTGTCTAAAAGGTTTCACTTTCTGAATCAGTGTTTTAATAAAAGCATCGAGAACGTTTTTACCAGTTATATTCCCAGGACCTGTTGACTTGCGTTTTAACTAAACACAATAGGCTTTTATTTGCAGTTGCCTGGAGGACAAGTACAAAAAATACCCTACTCCTTAGTGGCATTTACAAAATGAATGTTTTCAATTGGTATGTAGCTGTGCACTTAATGCACTTCATGATGGTGTGAGCATCTCAATGCTCTTATAGTGTGAGCTACCCATTCTGAATCCCGCAGCGTGATCTGGCTTTTTTTTTTTTTTTTTTTTTTTTTTTTTTTTTTTTTTTTTTTTTTTTTTTTTTTTTTTTTTTTTTTTTTTTTTTTTTTTTTTTTTTTTTTTTTTTTTTTTTTTTTTTTTTTTTTTTTTTTTTTTTTTTTTTTTTTTTTTTTTTTAAAGTCAGATTAATTAGCTTGCATAGATGGCAGCAGTCCTTTCCAAATCAGGAACACACAAGTATGTGAAAATACTAGGCATGAGACTAAATTTCTTTGTCTTGTATATCGCGATACAAAATACTGGCGAGACAAATTTTGCTGCTCTGAGGTGTATCGCAATATTTCTGTTTAAAGTTCATTATGAACTCTACCTCTACTTACACACTAGGCTGCAGCACCAGAGGTAGTAGCGTACAGAGCAAGAAGTTTGCAGGTGGGAACCTAACTGTCTCGAAGCATGCTTACTTAATAGTCAGAAAAGTTAAGCTAATCAGAGGGAAGCGTTATGGCACGTGTCAAACACAATGCCCATGGTGGGTTTTTTTTTTTGTTTTTTTTTTTTCATTTGGCTCGCATTAACCTGGAAAAGAATTATACTGAAACAGCCCATAATACACTACTGCTCAAAATTTTTTACACTGTCCAGAATTCACAACAGATCTGTAGCATAGCCATCTAAAGGCAGTTACCGTAAACTGCCGTATATACGTGCACTCTTGTTTCTATTGCGGCTGGCTTGACCACAGTCTGAAACACAAGTTAAAATCATGGCCTGCATGCTGCGCTTGATGTGAATCACACTCGTGTCTGGAATCAATTCAGAAGCATGTTGTGCGTTGTGATGGAAGTGGCGTAACCAGAAATTAATTTAGGTGAGATAAGGAAATCTACAAAATAAATTCATGATTGTTTTTCCTCATCTGTACAGTTAAAATGTGACGCGCTCGTGCATTTCAGGTGGATGTCGGACAGCAGTAGGAGCGTTTATGACATGAATTTGTTATTTAGCCTATCATTTAAGGCACAAAATACCATTAAACAATCTTTCCATATTAATAACGTTGCCATGAAATACATTTATGACAGTGAAAAAGATTAAAATAACATGTTAATAATAGGGGAAAATTACACCTTATATTATAAATCCTGATCTAGTGTTTTTTTTTTTGTTTGTTTTTTTTTTAACAATACAGTGTATTGATATTGTAGTGATTTGAGTTGTGATCATTACAAAATGAATTTATTAAAATTGAATATTTTATTTCTGTCAATATCTTGTGAAGCCTGTATTGGGATATGTCTTGTAGTGTGGCTTTAGTGTATCGTCCCATGCTTAGAAAATACTAATAAATCTCTTGCTATCACAACATGCAGTCACCTTGCAATTAAACACACAGTATCTTGGTTAATTTAGTTTATGTGTGCTATGAATGCAGAACACAGAACATAGCCAAAACTTTGGCTAATTATTTTTTTTGTTGTTGTTGGCAGTGCAATTATGATGTACTACACTATCATGTAATTGTTTGTTACCTTTAGTCTGTGTTAATGCACCTAACTAGCTCAGCATATGTCACTTTTAAGCTAATCAGTGAGGCTTCCAGGCAACCAAAACCTGGGAATGGGCAACAGGTTGGAGCTTGTACTCGCCCAGTTGGCTAGCTAATAAATTTATGATTTGTCCAAAGCTGACTTTTGTTATCACAGTATGTGCATCATAATTCATAGTAGTAATATGCTACTGACTGAATATTGTGCTGGGAGTTTATGATTTGACCCAAACACACACACACCGATTTTCTGCCACGATCTGTTCTGCTCTCAGTGATGCTTTATCAGGATTAGAGGCCTGGCCGCTACAAACTTGGACTAGACCAAAAACCCCTTGGTTGTGCTGAAAGGTGTAGCCTCACTGAGATATATGATGATATATTAAAATGAGAATGCTGCATAGGAAAGACATGATGACTAATCTTTTCTGAATATGACATTAAACTACAAGACACAAAGGCATTTACTCAAAATCTCCTACATCAGTGAAGTGGTGTACCATTTTGATTT